ATATCATGCGGGCCATGCAGCACGAAATATCGGGCCTCATGTTGAACAGGGTCCTACAGTACTCCTGCACGGCCGCCGATTCCAGGGCACAAGCCAATATAAGCGGCGCAGATCCCAACGCCATCGACTTGTAGTTCTCCTCCATCGACCCCACCACCTCATCTATCTCCTTCTGCTCTAGTCCACCGTGATAGTCTTCTGTGTTCGCTAACCTATATATATATTCATCTCAAAACATGTCAGAAGCTCGACGAGAAGAAAAAACGAGATATAGTTAGTTAATTACCTCGGGGATGGCGAAATCATGACGAGCTTGTGAAACAAGTCCGGCCTGGAAATAGATGCCACGGCAGCGGCCATGGCCGACATGGAGTGGCCCACGAAAATGCACTTACTGACGTGGAACTCGTCCAGAATGGCGATGAGGTCGTAGGAATAGCCTTCCAAGCTGGAATAACGCTCGAAATCGAAGTGGTCGGGATTGGTGGTCCCCGCGCCCATATTGTCGTAGAGGAGGACTTTGTAGTCGTCCACCAAGTGCGGGACGAGGAGCTTCCACACGGATTGGTCGGTGCCGTAACCATGGCTGAGGACTACGGTGGTCTCGCCCGACCCTACAATGGACACGTTGTGGGTTAATCCAACACTGCTCATCTTTACTTAGTATGATAATATTATGAATTCCTTTTTTGGTTGTTCTTTTATAGGTGGTATGTCCTTATTTTAATAGGGATCGTGTGATCCGATTTTGTAGGCAACGAAACGGATTAGAAGATGAAGTTTTGTTGCAGTAAAGTTTACGTATTTTTTTTGCCTTAAATCGTGTGCTGATTTATTGGGACTATATGATTCATGCGATCTACTATTATTTCATTTACTTTAGATAAACGAAGATACGTGATATTGGATATAACTAGTATTCGGTCCTTTGCACAAATGTAAATAAAGTATTATAAGTTATTTGTTTACATATAATATTAAAGTTATAAGTTAGATAATGATATTACATTTTATATCAACATATAGTATTAAAATTTTGTGGCTGATTTTTTAGCCTCCTTGACGGCGAAATGTCCGGGTGGTTTGCAGAGGTTGGCGAGTCCCCCGCCGGGGGCAAGTATGTGGTTACTACATGATCGACTGGGCATAGCTCATCCTCGGAATTGTATATTTTATAGCTCATCCTCGGAATTGTATATTTTTAAATTCAAGCACTGGTGAAAATAAATAGACATAACGATTGAATTGTATATGAACCACTACATTGATTGCATAAAA